TGCCCTTCAAACCAATTAATGCATCTCTAAGCACAAGAAAACAAGTAATTACTTCTTTTTTGGTGGTCTAGCAATTAGAGGAAATGTCCGAGTCAATTTTTGCGCACCTCGATTAGTCTATCCACCAAGACGATCTTAGGGACGCCCTCTCTCACATCAGCCATTGCATTTCTTTCTTTCTTTTTTTGGTAAGAAAATAAGCAATGCCCGAAATTACATCATTAATCTCCTAATAAGACATGATCTAATCAGATCCCCTAACAACAGAGGAATGAAACTTATTGGTCGCCATTGCATTTCTAAAATGACAAGGAAACCACCTCAATTGTTTCCCTAGTTATCATCTATACTAGAGTACAATTTTAATAATTTTCCATATTTATGACAAACATCATATTCCCTCTTCAAATCCCAAATGCTCTAAATAAGTATCCCTTTATTTTCTTTATGTGGGTTTCTTTTATTTACCTTTCCTTCTCCATTATCTACTTTTTTTTTCCTCTTTTTCTTTAGTTTAAATTCATGCCAGTTCAATAGAATATTCCGATGCCAAAGAATCCACTCAGCACTTCTCATCACCTCCAACTTGGAGACAAGGACCAAGACTTACGCCTCCAGCTCATCTTAACTTGGGCAATCAATCCTTTCCTTGATTCTTAATTTAATCAAAACTTGCAATCATTTAGTGAAATTAAGAAAAAAATATTGAAGGAGTGGACCTTGATGTACTCACTCCTCAGTCCCCACTCAGTCCTCAATGATTTCCCACTAAAAAAAAGGAAGGAAAATAAAGAGAAAGAGGGAACAAATCTTGGGGACTTTAAAGCAAAAAACGTGGGGTCAAAGAACCTTTTTTTTCCCTACATGAACCAAATTGCAAGGAAGCAATAATGCTCCTTTGTCTCCTATCACCAATCTCGTTGCATCTTTGATAAAAAAATGTGCTGCCTTGGGAAGGGGTAGTGGAAACATCCTCCTAGAAAGAGAACATCTCAACTTATCAAAGGAAAAAGGTTAAAGTTTATATTCTTTGTTACCTTTTACTTTTTAGAAATGTTCGTGTCACTCTAGGTTTCAAACCTTTATCACTAGATCAAGCATCCTCTATAACATTCGGGTTTGCTAAAAAATGCAAGTTCTCACACAGTTTCACATTTTGATTGGGAAATTTGTTCCAAAAATTCTAAACTTATTATATGGCCGTCAATTCAATTTAAAACCTTTCAATTATACCAATTTAGTTTTAAGTTTTTTGATGATTGCCAACGTAGTTTTTCCGGTCATTTTTTTGTTGGAAATTGATGATGTGGACGCCGACCGTCCTACGTGGCATGATAAATGCTGAGGGAGAATTGCCAAAAAGTCCTAAACCTATTGCAATCGTGCCAATTCAGTCATAAACCTTTTTTTTGCCAATTGAGTCCTAAATCTTTTGCATTTTTGTCAATTTAGTCCTAAATTTTTTTTATTTATCTTACTCGTCGGCCCTCGCTCTGGCCAGTTGCCGAGGTTCGGCGACTAGCTGGAGGTAGAAGGAAGGGAAGAAAAAAAAAAGAAAGAGAAGGAAAGAAAAGAAAAAAGGACAATATATAAGTAATTCGGAAAAAAATTATTAAAAAATTATTAAAGTTATTAACGTCAGCACCGATCGGCCAAAATTGACCGGATGTATTGAATTGGCATAAATGCAAAAAGTTTAGGACTCAATTGGCAAAAAAAAAGATTTATGTTTGAATTGACACAATTGTAATATGTTGATGATTATTTCTGCAAATTTTCCATATATACTTATGTGGAAAAAAAAAAGCGAAACGCACCCTTGTTCAGGTGATGTAGGGTGTGAGATCCAAACAATACACAAGCGGGTAAGGTAAATGGGAAAATTGTTTATTTAGGTGTTCGAATTTTCTTTGTTTTTGGGTGAATTTCATATGTAAAAATTTTAAAATCATGAACTTGTCAATTCAACGATGTCATTGTAGCCAATCACGGTTTGCCATCAAAGTTTATTTTATTGTGGGATGTCGACATAATTTGGTTTGGCCCATCCGGGGGCACAATCTAGACTTTCAACAGCCAATCTTTAGTCACGTTACATATAGTACCTTACCCTAGCTTCTTGTGGCAAGAATTTGGTCAATGACCCAAGTTTGATCTCATCGTGGATTGTGCAATATGCACATTCGTCGACGTTTCTTGGTTTTGACGATTTGACTGAAGGCTTCACTCGAATACCCCGTGAACGGTTAATCACTCTTTTGGAACGGAATAAAAAACTCTTAACAAATTACAATTTAGTGACAGGTGAAATCTAAGTGTAACCATTTGCTAAAAAACGAGTGGTTCAATATTTGATTTATAAGTAATGATTTTTTAGTCCATCTTTGATTTGAGGATATCTGTTAGGAAAATCTAATTCAAAAACTTAAATTTATTGGCCAAAGATCATGTGAGTATAAAGAGCACATGTGGCCCATTGTCAAGCGATATACACCTGCTCTCACGTGGAATTTGATTGATGGGGCATGATGCATATACTCGAAAGAAAAGTTTAATCCAAAAGTTAAAGTTGATAGGTAGAAGAAGACCATATGAATATAAAAAACATAAGAAATCCGTTGTCAAACGATGTAGGACAATATTTCAACAATACTTACTTTGATAATTTATGAATTTGGGATTACGTATATTTTTGATATGAAGCTTCCCATTTGCGTTGGCTTGTCCAGTAATAGTGGCGCATGGAAAGATGTGTGGCCTTATTGAACATTTCGCAATGATTTAGGAGGTGTAGTGACATTCTCCATTATTTGATTAGATAAAAAGACTACGTTGAATATTCAGAAATAATTTAAGGGACACATCTAACGAATTAAAGGTTAAATGATGACAATGAACTTTAGATCAAAATTTAAAATTACTAGTGTTATTTTCCCTTTTTATTAACTCTAGACACTCTTTAGGGAAGCAAAAAATAAAACAAAAAAATGTAGGACTTACTAGTCTTCTTTTTCCAAAGCTTCACTCTTTCTTTTTACATTAGTCAAGTTTTGATTGGTAAGGAGGAAGAAAAAGTCAATCCTCTCCTTTTCTTTTTTTCTTCTTTCCCTCCTTTTTCTCCTTCTTGCTTTCTCTATTTCATAACTTTTTTTTTTTCATAAGGTCCCCCATATGCATATTCTTTTCTCCATTTCCCCCTTTCCTCGTCCTTATCTCTTTCTCTATTCTCACTCATCCCATTTTCGCCGGAGCTTAAGTCGGTCCAGGGATGGGCCGACAACATTGCGGATCCGGGTTACTCGGCCATGCGATCAAGTTAAAAAATAATTATGACGAAATTAGAAATTTTTAAAATTTGCTATCTCTTTTTGTAGCTAAATTTCCCAATCTCTCTCCATGGAGCAACAATACCTGATCATATTTTAGACAAGCGTCAAGACTTTTAGTTTACATTTGCGCATTACACAATTGTTAGCATCGAAGTATCTATCTTAGCTCTATTACCCACCACCTACTAGACAGTTATAATATGTATAAATAAAGAAAAAATAGTAAATTTCATGTCACAGTCTCACCTAATGGTAGGTATAGGCGGGCTAAAACTATTGGTTTTTCTTATTTTTATTTACATGTTCTATAAAAATATGGTTATGGTGATGTATGGGATTTCTTTTGGGGCGTCCATTGATGCATTTGAATAGGGGATGAGTGAGGCAATCAATATGGCCCGCTCACTCAACGGGCCTCAAGCTCAACGCCTAGACCGTCCTTGTGAAAAGAACTCATCAACTGAACTTTATTAAGTATTCCTCCGGCTTTAATCTACTAATTTTCTAAAACTTGTTACGAAAGTGTAATTGAGTCCTATAACTTTCAAAAGATAAATCAAGTTGTAAAACTTGTTAAATTGATACAATTAAAAACTTTCGTTAACTCCGTTCGATTTGACTAACGAAAAATTCTGATGTATTTTTCTTATTATTTTTTATCTTCTACGTGGGGATAAATTAACTAAAGTATGAAAAATAAGATTATCATAATTTTTTACTCCAAATATTAATTAAATTAATATTATAAAAAAAATAAAAAACACAATTGCAGCCCCTCACCGGTGGGCACCGCCACCCCACCATCACCAGAGAGGGCCAGTGGAGGTTGCCAAGGCCTTGGCGACGGTTGGAAATAACACCTGCATCAAGAAGATGGATCGCGACTCTCTTGCTTGCAAAGAAGTGCTCAATTGGGATGATGAAGTGGTCGCGATGGCGTGATCCAAGGCTTTTAGTGGCCAGAGATCGGATCGGGGAATCCAAGTGCCATTTCTGGCAGGACATGATTCTCAGGGTCGCTCGTCACTTCGGCCTCCTCATCATCGAACCTTCTCAGGTTCGTTCAATCGCGTCGTTTGAGGTTTTCTAGCCTGAGGGAAAATCTCATTTTGCCATGCTTCCTCTGTTGGGGTTTTTGGGATTGCTTGACTGGAATTAATGTCTTTTTTTTTGTCAATCGATGATTATATGGTTTGAGATGATTTCCTTCGAGATGAGAAAAATGGATGAAACATACTAAAGGCGTCGTAACAACGGCTATATACATCGTAACAAGTTCTAAACCCTAGTACCTTGTTCTGTAACTCGGTTTTACTGGGTCCTCAGTTTATGACCCGTTGCAAGTGCAATAAGTCGAAAATCAGTAAGTTATGATGGAAATCGCCTTGATTATGATGCATTGCCTCTAAGCTTATGACCGATCGCAAGCGAGATACTTCAAAAACGATAAAGTAGCAATGGAAATGCCCCTTGGCCATGCGCATTTGCTTCCAGCTTATGATCTATTTTGAGCGCTGTACTCTGAAAATCAGTGAGTGACAACCGAAAAAAGGCCTTCTTCAAGATCTATTTGCACTAAGTTAACGACTTTTTACAATGCACCTATCCATGGTCTTTGGTTCTGGGGACATGTGGAAGTGTCATTTCAAATTTTGACAATTATAACAAGTCGTAAATTCAATTATGTATATTCATAATACTAGAATAAATGTGTCATAACAACAGATTATTTACGTTGTAACAAGCTGTCAACCCTATTAGCTTGTCCATCCGTTCCTGAAGCTCCAGACGTTCGTCCTGCACTTTGGCGACCATCGTAGAAGTTCCAGTTTCGCCTAAAACCAATGTCGCAGGGGTGAGGCCGAGCGTCCCTATTTTTTTTTCTTCGTCGTCCTCCTTTTCTCATCTTCTGCCAGCGAAAGACTTCACGGTAGCGCTTCATCCTAGCGCACCTGTACCCGGTAACACTGGTACATACAACGACACCCCTCGGAATCGTCAAATCTGCCTTGGACAGCCCCGCAGTATACTGCTCTGTGATGCTCTGTGTTCGTGATTGATATTGTCGTTTGCTTCTTCGTCGCTAAACCTGAACTGGAGTTGGACAGGAATCAGCTCGGCGGAGTTTCAATTTGCACGGTTTGGACTCTGTACCCTTGGCCACGACCACATTTACCAGGTCGTATCTTCCCCAATTAATCTCTAAATGTGATCCCGATTCATTCTAGATTTGCTCTGTTTTGCCGCAAACGAGTTGACCGTTTCTTCGGTCCCGCAGTAGGGTGTTTTCTTGTTCAATCCCATACCTAATGTGAACATTTAGCAAAAGCCATAAGCTTGTCTATTTCAAAAATTTCTAATTCACAATAGAGAACTCATGCTTTTGGATTTCCCACCATGAAACTTCATTGATAACCTTTGGGTTACTGAAAATTTCAGCAACCCTGGCACGTTTGTTCGCTGGGATCAGCTCGCCAGCTGGTGTGTATAAATTGCAAATAACCTACAGACGAACAATAATTCTTTGTAAACTAATTGAAACGTTCTTTCTCGTTTGATCAACCTGTTCAGATGATCTGATGGATGAACAATTTTTGACAACATAATACTTATTTCGTGGATGATTACCATGATATTGTTGCTGCCTCAGAAAGGATCCTTGAAAATTGCTCGAGGGTTGTTAAAAAATCAAGAACTTGATGGAATGATGTGAATGTAAATATAGTAAGAGAGTTTTTGGTTTATGTCATCTTACGATTAGATCACTTCACTATCCTCCCCTGGAGCATGACCAGTACTCGATCCATACTCAACAGCTCTAGGGATCATCTGATTATTCATGAATCAATATATTAGTAGCATGTAAAAAGAAGAACCCTACATATTTTATTGTTGCTATTCATACCCGTGATGTGCTGTGCAAATCTATGCCAGAAACTCCGATCTTGACTCATAGTTAGACTAACGTCAAAATGTGAAATAAGGTTCGCTAATGCAAAAATTGAAAGAAAAAAAAGAAAAGGTGTCAGCAGTTGAATGTGCATATAACATATGACATACTTATTCTGATGGCATATCGAAGAAAAATGCGAACTTATAATCTCAGTACAGAATAGTTCTAGTATTTGTCATCTTTTTGTGGATCACACTAAATGGTTTTAGGCATTAAAACATACCAAATGTATTCTACAATCATCGTATGGGTGTAGGGCGTGGCATCCGAATTGAGAAGACTCTCAAGCCTGTAATAGTATTGTTCTTGGACTTCAAAGCATACACCCTGAACTTAGAAAAGCTCTTGGTGTTTACACTCTTCTTCTGTTTTAGTGAGAGAGAAATCCATGCGTTTGCTGCCATGGGACTGGCCATCAATGAGTTCTTTGTGATCCTTGTCTGGCATTATGTCGTTGGTGCCAAAATCTGCGCCATTTCTGCCTAGTCTGAAAAATAAAGTAGTGTGAGTAATAGACATATCTGTTGCGAAAATTCAAATCGGCATTAGCATAAATATTACAAACAATACAAAACTGTAAAGAAATGAAATTGCAATAACAAAGTCGGAATCGATACAAATGAATACCGAGGCCTGTGTTTTACACAGTTTCCTTAAAACAGATTCGTTCCCTTAAGTACGCGATTGAGGTTTCGTGAACGTCTGTCTCCCAGGATACAACGGTTGACAGCGAAGAAGAGATCACGGCACTTCCAAGCTTTCGGCGAACTTGAACAAACTCGAAAATGAACACTACCGAAAAACAGTGCAAATGCAGAGAAGTTCTGAAACAGAGGAAGAATGATTTCGATAAAAATAGAACGCAGGGGAGAGCATTTCGGGAATACGGACGATTAAATCTGCCGTTATAAAATCAATACGCATGGGAATAACGGTTGATTAAATCTGCCGCACGTTACGAAATTCGTAACAGTTTGAGTTGAAAAAAAAATAAATCAGAAGGCAAAATTGGGCTCGTCGCGAGACCCACTTTTCGGTACGCGGGATGTGTGCTCGCGCCCAAGTTTCAACTTGTCGGGCATCGGATTTGCACCCCCCCTACGCCTGCGCGCGAGGCAGAGAGTTTGTGCTATGATAGTTACCACTTCAAATAAGTGTAACTGTATATAAAGCACTCCATATCCTTCTTTCTTTTCCGATGTGGGAATAGTGTTTTTTCACTTCCCACTTCCAACTCAAGGGTGTTCTTTGAGCATCAATTTCTCATTCATTCACCCATCAATTTATCCCATATTTCCAACAATATCTACGTAAACAAAAAACCTAGGAGCTTAATTTCATGGAAGATGATTCAAACAACAAGCTCTATTTGTATGACTTGGCCTTCTGGTATGCATGAGAGTTTAGTTTTGAAATGATAAAACGAATAGACTGGGTACTTCAAAGAAAGGGTCTCTTTTGCAAGTGCGTACGCCGACAATTTCAAGTAGGAAAACTTACATTTTGAAGCATAAATAGCGAGTCTTATTGATTTCCCTAAGGATGATACCACATTCTCCTTGAAAACTTAACTAAAAATAGTGGCATAACTATACTTCTCCTTTTGGAATCATTTCAAGGTTATTCTCAGGCCTCATTCCCAAAAGTGAGCTCATGAACAAGTAAAAAACTGAGGGCAGTTACATAGTTGAAGTAAGCAAACTGCAGAGTGCAACAGTTTAAGAGATTAATGAAATTCCACCTTACCAAGGATCAATCAGCAAACATGTTATTATGATATTTCATTAGATATAATGGATGATCAACTCATGAATCTTGATAGTGCACCTAATCCTTTCCTCTCGCAATCAAAAGGCAATCACAATGAAGTAGTTTCTTCTTTCACAAACTTGGCATAATTGCAAATTACCCTTGCCAACCACTTCGGCGAAAATATCCATCAGATATCGCCATGGCAGAGCAAGACTACCGAACACCGCAATTATCACTATGAGGACTTGAAGTCACAGAACAAGAAAAATCTGATACAAGAGTGGATACAAGATAAATCGATTCCACATGAGGTCCACAACATAGACTTAAAATTGGTAGTGATTGATTTATTCATGAAAAGAAACGACAACAATGACTACTGCTTCGTTCATTCATTCTGCCTCACACACCACACATTTCTTTTGCAGACATTGTTGTCACAAAGAGATGAAGTCCACGTCAATTGTCAACCAAACAAATTGAACAGGACAACCTTGCAGTGATCAAAATGAAGAAGCCATAGATTAGACTCCCACTCTAACTGTGATAAGACCTCTTTTAATGTCAAATATTTACTCAATTGCTTAAGATGTCGCTAAAAATTGGTAAAGGATTTACCTGAGAACCTTTGCAGAATGGCTGAGAAGCAAATAAAGAATGTCAAATGCTGTCAAATGCTAACTATAAGATCACTTCTCTATCCTCCCCCGGAGCTTGATTGGTACTTGATCCATAGTAATTCCACTTTGGAAGTTCAAACGGGTGCTCAGCAGGTCTAGGGATCGCCTAATTTCAGGAATTAATAGATCAGTAGCATGTAGCGTGTAAAAAGGAAAAACATGACATATTTTATTGTTGCCAATCATACCCTTGAGTTGCTGCGCAGATCTATGTCAGAACCTCCGTTCAAGGGAAGCAAACCAGAAGCCGTTCAACAGAGAAACATTTCATCACTTCATCTATGAGAGTTTTCCAGAATTGTGCAGGCATTTTGCTCCTTGTGAAATCAAATAAGGAGATTGCACACTATATCTACAGAATGAGTCATGAGGCAGATTTAACAATCTCGGAGTTGGATGAAGAAAAGTACGAATTTTCTTCATTTTTCTTGCATGTTCGAGATTAAAGCAATGTCCAAACCTATCAGCGATCTGTCCATGTCCCCCCCCTCAAATCATATAGCGTTGATAGATAACTTTATCAACTCTGTCTGCAGGATATGAGATATCTTGTAACAGTCGTCGCCTGCATCTTTGTGGCACCTCTCCTCCAATTTTGGGCAACCTGCGATTCTTCGGTGAGTACATAATAGTTCTAGTATTGTTCATCTTTTTGTGCACCACACTCAAAGGTTTTAGACATGAAAACATACCAAATGTATTATGCAATTATTGTATCGGTGTAGGTGTGACGTCCAAGTTGAAAAGACTCTCGAGCATGTACTAGTATTGTTCTCGGACTTCAAAGCATACGCCCTGAACTAAGAAAAGCTCTTGGCGTTTCCACTCTTCTTCTGTTTTAGCAAGAGAGAAATCCATGTGTTTCCTGTCATGGGACTGGCGGTCAGTGAGTTCTTTGTGATCCTTATCTGGCATTACATCGTCGGTGCAAAAATCTGTGCCATTTCTGCCTAGTCTGAAAAATAAGCCAATGTGAGTGACAGACATATCTACTGAAGCCAAAAAAAAAACCTGGGAGCTTAATCTCATGGAAGATAGTTCAAATGACGAGCTCTATTTGTATGACCTGGCCTTCTGGCACGCACGAGAGTTTAGTTTTGAAAAGATAAAAGAATGGACTGGAATACTTCAAAGAAAGGGTCTCTTTAGCAAGTGCTAACACCTTTACCCTAAGCTTAATCTCATGAAACAGCATTTTGAAGACTAGTTTCAAGTGGGAAAAAATTGCATTTTTGAAGCATAAACAGCGAGGTCAATTGCCATGAACAATTTTACACACACCGGTTTCGATAGAGGTATAAGCTTAGAGATCGGGCGGCGTAGTGTTCGCCCACTTGAATTTGATTCTAGCCCAAAAATAGAGGGATAAACTGAGATGACAAAGTACCGCTCGTGAAATACAGAGCATGATGATCCAAACCAAAATGCTATTGAAATAGCAGCCACCGACCACACATCATAATAGTTTTCGAGCTGCGAGTCCAGTTTGAGGAGCCAAATCAGCAAACTCAGCTCATCTTCACCAGATCAAGCAATGAACCCAATCAAAAGATACAAAAACAAATTCATATGACGCCGAACAGAAGTAGTGAACTACGATCAGGAGCTAGGACAAAGCAAAGAAATTCTCTAGAGGCACCAACAATCCAAAATCAAAAAACTGTAAAAAGCATTAACGATGATGCTGAACTCAGTGTCATTGTATTCGAAAATTGTTCATGTAAAATCTGGGAAACAAGGTGCCCCCCACATACATACCTTCAGTAAGGAAAATTAGGGCTCGATCTGCCACAGTCCAAGTTGTATGTGGGGGATATGAGCGATCTTGTCCCAGTCCTCGCCTCCATCTCTCTTGCACCTCCTCTCCAATTCTGGGCACTCGTCGATGCCTAGTTGAGTAAGGACGCAAGCCTTCGCGTTCCTTCGGGAAATAACGTCAGCAAGGGGCTATCGTTGATTTCGAGCCGTTGAAGTGATTGAAGGGCCTCGATCTGCTCTGGTAATGCCTTCAAATTGGAACAATACTGAATAGAGAGATCCTCGAGATTGCTGAGCTGGAGAAGCCACCGTGGGAGAGATGCTAGTTTTGGAAGTTTTTCGAGTCTCACGGAGCGGAGACTGTGATGGAGTCCTCCATGGGAATCCAAGATGATGAGGTTGCCGCTCTCGTCTTTGCATATATCCAGCTCCTCACAAAACCGAATATCGAGATCCTCGAGATTGCTGAGCTGGAGAAGCCACCGTGGGAGAGATGCTAGTTTTGGAAGTTCTTCGAGTCTCACAGAGCGGAGACTGTGATGGAGTCCTCCATGGGAATCCAAGATGATGAGGTTGCCGCTCTCGTCTTTGCATATATCCAGCTCCCGACAATCACAGATACGTAGACGCTCGAGATTGCTGAGCTGGAGAAGCCACCGTGGGAGAGATGCTAGTTTTGGAAGTTTTTCGAGTCTCACGGAGCGGAGACTGTGATGGAGTCCTCCATGGGAATCCAAGATGATGAGGTTGCCACTCTCGTCTTTGCATATATCCAGCTCCTCACAAAACCGAATATCGAGATCCTCGAGATTGCTGAGCTGGAGAAGCCACCGTGGGAGAGATGCTAGTTTTGGAAGTTCTTCGAGTCTCACAGAGCGGAGACTGTGATGGAGTCCTCCATGGGAATCCAAGATGATGAGGTTGCCGCTCTCGTCTTTGCATATATCCAGCTCCCGACAATCACAGATACGTAGACGCTCGAGATTGCTGAGCTGGAGAAGCCACCGTGGGAGAGATGCTAGTTTTGGAAGTCCTTTGAGTCTCACGGAGCGGAGACTGTGATGGAGTCCTCCATGGGAATCCAAGATGATGAGGTTGCTGCTCTCGTCTTTGCATATATCCAGCTCCCGACAATGCCGAATATCGAGATCCTCGAGATTGCTGAGCTGGAGAAGCCACCGTGGGAGAGATGCTAGTTTTGGAAGTCCCCAGAGTCTCACGGAGCGGAGACTGTGAAGTTCCAAGATGAGGTTGTTGCCGCCGCTGCTTTCGTCGTAATTGGATAAATGCAGCTCCTCAGAATCCGAAGAATCGAGATCCACCTGGTTGGATTGATGTCGCGTACCCAGTGGGGGTGGTGGTGGTGCTGCTTTTGAGAGGGAAGTTAACCCAGGACAAAGACAGATGGCAAGAGATTCGAGGGAGGCGAGGCCTTTCCAGCACTCCTCCGGCACACATTCTAGAGACTCCATCTCCATGATTACCAGGTGCTTCAACTTATTAAGGCCAACTATCATATTTATTAACGCTGGGTGGGCCCTAATCAGCGATAACGCCTCGAGATGCGGAGTTGGTGGGACAGCTTTTAATTTTTCACAATTGTGGATACCTAATTCCAATAGACTAGGAAATGATATTGTTGAAGTGAATGGATGATCCGATACAATGTATTCCAATTCAGTCAGACTCCAAATCTCCATAGTCTTAAGGTGAAGTAGTTGGCCTAGTGGAGGAAGACTTTTACATCCTCCACATTTGGAGAAGCATACCTCAACTAAATTTGGCAAGGAAGACACAAGATTGTCCATCATCCACCTTGGAAAGCTCTCACCTTTATATTCATTGATAGTCAACTCCTGCAGATTTGAGTGCGGCCTCAGTCCATCTAATAGCACTTCATCTCTATTCCCAATTACTGCATCATCAATATCAAAATCGCCCCATTTAAGTTTCAAAGATTCCAGTGAATGCTTCCCTATCAAGTTCGCAGCCCTGGATTCTGCTACTGCATCCGTCACGCTTCCCAAATTCTCAATGCAAAAGCTTCCTCGGATGTTATTAAGCTCTTTTAGCTCCCCAAGTTCACAACCATTCTTAGCAAGAGCTTTATCTTTAGGCAAAATGAAGCGCGTTAGCCTACTTAGAGAACTCAACTGACCTAGTCCACGTGGCACATAACTAAGTTCCTCACAACCATCTATGTATAGATTTCGAAGGCTGACTAACTTTCTTATACCCTTCGGCAATTCTTCAAGGGCACGACAATTGTTGAGATTAAGTGTTTGCAAATTCTGCAGTCTCGTAATGGAGTCCGGAAGTCTTTTTAGTTTATGAGTGCCAGAGAGGTCGAGATACGTGAGATGCTTCAACTTACAAATGGACCTTGGCACCTTCTCTACATATGTGGTATGCAGATCCAAGACGCGCAACCTCTTGAAACTTTGAATGAGTTGGCGTAAATCTACTTCACTTATTGGTCGTCGCATAAGAGAGAGATATGTTCTCAGGGGACTTGCTTTCAAGTGTGAGATTGGAAGGTCACCGACACATAGATGACGTGCTCTTTCATTTATGGATTTTGTGTCATCCAATGCCACCCCACACTCATTCCCTGCAACTACGCAGGCTAGATCATGCATCAAATCATGCATCTTGCAAGTCTCCTTGTATTCTTGAAAGTCTTGGAAGAAGTTGCTCCTAAGTAGATCCATGAAATATCCATGAGCAATGTCTTCTAAATGTTGACTTCTATTCGATGGCCGGATAAATCCTTCAGCCACCCAAAGATTGACCAAAGTCTGCTTCTTTATCTCATAATCTTTGGGAAACAGTGAACAGAACGCGAAACATTGTTTCAAATGTGAAGGAAGATAGTCATAACTTAGCCTCAAAACAGATGTTATTTTGTCTGCCCTTTGAGACACATCTGGGAGCTCATAATCTTTGAAAGTTAACCATTCGAGTTTAGTTTTCTTAAAGGATAGTAAAGTCCCAACAGTTCGAACCACCAATGGAACCCCAGAGCACTTTCTAACTATCTCTTTGGCAATATCTAGCATTTCAGGATCTTGCACCTCCTCTTCTTTTCGATAAGCCATTTGCATTAATAAATCAAGAGATAAGCTGTCAGATAAGCCCCCAAGATGATGAGATTGAGCAGCATCAGTGATCGTCGCAATCGATGGAAGGCGTGTAGTTATAAGGATCTTGCTTCCTCTAGCACCTCCCACCAGTAATCTTTTCAAGCTCAACCAATTTTCTGGTTCTTCATTCCACAAGTCATCTAAAACTAAGAGATATCTCTTTCCATCAATTTCTTTCCTCAGTTCACTTTGCAGCTGTTCCATTGCATCTTCGCTGGGTGCTTTCTTCTTTGCACAAGCTATGATATTTGTGACTATTTTTTTCACGTCAAAGTCATTGGAGACACAGACCCACATTTTCAAGTGAAAGTGTTTACTTACCATCTCATCATTATATATAAATTGAGCAAGTGCCGTTTTTCCAAGCCCACCAATACCAACTATTGGAAGGATGGAGACGTTCTCTTTCATGTTTGAATCCAATAGAAATTTTATAACCGCCGTTTTGTCATCGTCTCTGCCTTTAATATCTCCCTCACTTATAAACGAATGCGTCTCTTCTCTTTTCCTCCACTGTCTCTCTACTCGTGAATCCACGGAGCGATCATCCAAGTGGAATTTCCTATCAGCCTTAATGGCTTCTATTTTCTCCCTCACTGCTCTTACTTTGTTACTCATCTTCAGTTTAAAAGCAAGCTGGTTTGAACTTGAGAAAAATGTTCTTACCTCCTTCATCATCTCATTATGGCCACTCAGTTCTCGTCGCACAGCTTCTATGTTGAATTCTTCAAGCACATCCTGCGCATCATAGAAAGCATCTTTCAATTTGTCAAGCCAAACTTTGATTTGGCGACTCCGGTGGTATTGCTCCTCTGCATCCTCTAGTACAGCATGAAGCGTGGAGACAGTTTCCTTGAGTATCTCGAGTTCATGCTTGACACCCCATAACTTTCCAACCTTTTCTAGTGCTTTAGGAACCAGATAATCAACGATATTTCCAGCAATACCAAGGATGACAGCTTCCGCCATTTTTGTTCTCTCTGTGGATCATAAGATATTAGTCCAGTCGTTCTTGACGCTAGAGACTTCTCACAACATGGATAACAAGTTTCAATTGACGCTCACCTAAGATTGGCAAATCGAGAGATCCTGACAAATCTAATCATTAGCTTCTATGACCGACTTTAGTTGTTGAAGATAGGAATTTAACAATCCACCCATAATGCACGATGAAGCCTAAATCTATAATGCATATGGGACCCACCGAAATCAGGTCCTAGTGGTTTGTCTAAGATTTTTCATGCTTTTAGCGTTTACTCTTCTATTATGCTTGCAAAGGCAAGGAAAATGCTGGCGGAAATAAATCTCTAATTCTATAGTTTATAAAAGCAATAAACCGATGCATGTACGGTGAAAATAACTTAAGAGCATAATTACCAGGAGTACGGGTGATATTGAAGGACCGTATTTGACAGCAGCAAAGCCTGAATGAAATGCAAGCAACAAGATTAGAAGCAATGAAGAAGGGGGTTTCTTGAGTAGCTGCCTGCATTCGTCATCATCGCACATTTAAAGGGAGAAAGAAAAGGGGCACATTCCTTTTTTATGCTGACCCAACAAGGAAACGTGGGAAATGATCCCTTTCTTGCCTTCTCAGTTATCCTTAACACGTTGACCCAAAAAAATAAGTCATTGTTAACACGAGAAACGAATTTTTTTGCATTTCTTTTTTGCGGCGACATCTGTATAACAGTACTTTTAAGATTGTCCTAAAGTTATTTCTTTCATATTATATGGTGCCCCCAATTCATTTTGTCTTTTGCCACCATCGAAGTATAATATAATTAAAGTTTTCTCCTTTTTCCTTTTCTATATTATAAAAATAGATATATTGATTTTAGTAATTAGATACTCTTTGTAATATTCTTTTTTTACTTACGATTCGATTGAGTATTACTCATATTTTTTTTTAAAATTTCGTTAGTGCATTTCCTGAATTCATGAAATTGGATATTGCCTTTCTTTTTCCTTTGGAATTATGCGCTAGGCTCAACGCCCATTGACAGGCATAGGCTATACCTTACTGTTCATTTTGGTATTAATTTTTCCGCTGAACATTGCGATGTTACAATTGAACAAATAATATGACTATAATTTCGAACGTTATGTTATGTATACATCTCAATTAACAATTTATTTTAGGTGATGTGGCTAGAGCATTCTAGTCATCAAGATTACTTTATCTCTGTTAACTATTGGCGTCTGACCTCGTGAATTTTGAGTGTCATGGTTCTATGTCAATACATGCACTATTTTTTCTCTCCTGTTGCATAACTGCAATGTTGTGTCAGGATTTTATTTTGACTTTAGTTGATTATCCAGTTCTCTCTAATTGAATTTACATTTGCATTGAGATATCTAGATTTAAGATTAGTGAAACTTTTCATTATACTTGTAAACTTTACGTATATTATTTTCTTTTTGTTAATTTTACTTACATTATCAAATTGTATAGTTGATTACACCTTTATGATTCAGTGGTATCTTTAGCATTACCACTGGGGTTTTATTCATGATCTCATTTTTGGAATGAAAAAGGCTATATAGATTATTAGAAACTTCTATTTGTGATAGTTTATTAAAAGACAATTAATTGCATATTTTTGCGCAAATAGTTTGACAACTATATTTCAAAGTTGAGTATTAAATTTCAATCTAATCGATCTTGACCTTGTGGGGTCTTCGGCGGAATAAATTTGTAGGTTTCTGTAGTTGTTTTTTTTTTTTGGTCGAAAGGTTTTCTGTAGTTGAAGTATTGCTTATTTGCGCTTTCCTTTGAGCTCTTTACACATTTTTTTTCCTAAATTGCAAAATGGAGGTTGAAACAATAGTTACGCCTTCTTCACTTTCAGACTCACATCTCATTATTTCGGAGGAAACTTTTGAGCATTTCTTAATGTTTCGGTCCACTTGCGAAGAGAAATGAATCTATGATCTTAATTACTTTATTCTCTGAGTTAGGAGGCAGCTCCCTTTTTGTTTTAGTAAATAATTGCAATAATGTCACATGACAATATGAATGAGAGTTTTGATTTGAGAGGTGTAGTGTTAGCATCACAATGTAAACAAATCCATTATGCTACCTACGCATAGAACTTTCTATTTTCACATAAATAATCTCTATCCTAATGTGTACTGCATTTGTATAATTATATATACACATATATATCAATAACTAGTTAATCCTAGCTCACTCCTCAGAGTACTCGAATCAAAGAAAACTAATATTTCCTAGTTTTATAAGCTTTGTTACCAACTTTATCATACATTAAATCCATCCCAAAAATATAAAGAATGATCAGTCGTCTTTTCACAAAAAAGGTAAAGAATGAAGCCTTCAAAAAAATAGAAGTGTTCATGCAGGCATCGGATGCGAGCTCAGTGGGTCCGCATGTTTTATTTAGACTTGCGTGGATCATCAAAATGCCTATCTATAACAGGTCAAGTTGGCCATAGAAGTTGATAATTAGGTTTGTCAAGCTTTTGATTTGCTAGTTTCAAGTGAACATCAAGATTAGCTACATTATGACACACATACACCTAATAAAATTAATTAGGTGAGTAGAATCCATTATCACACATTCATAGAATACAAATGTGTAAAAGTGCAACATGAGCTTTTGCTAATTACTAAACGTTTAAAGATAAAACTCATGCAAAGCATAGGCAAGAACACTATTTTTTGCTTGTGAAGTTGACATTTGTTTTAATGGTTAGGAGGCAGGTGACATGACAATGCAAGTTCCTCAAAATAATATTCCTGAATGAACATATAAACAAGCATGAAATGGGACCAAATAAAGAAAGGAAAAACATAGTAAGATTAGTTTAAAATTAGAAGAAGCGCATCTTAGTTTTAATAAAAGAATGAATATCGAAAAGTATATTAAAATAAAACTTATTAACTTGGGTAAAGTAATATCATTTTGATTAAATAAAAAATGAATTTCAAGAGGTATATAATGATAAAAAATTTTAGCGAAACTTAGTAAAATCATACATCTCATCGTATAGAATTATAACAATTTGAGAACTTTTAGATATTGCATTGTACAATGACAATAGGATAACTATTTACCTTAAACTTTTTTCTGTAATATCAAATATCCCAAACTTGCATCCTTGTGACACATTTACTCTTTGTCAAAGTTATGTCAATGAGTACCGTTAAAAATCTACCTACATGGACGTGGAAGGTAAATAGTGTTGACATGGCGCCCATGTGGCTTAAATGAAATAAAAATGACGTTTTGATTGAAAAATCATGTGACGAAATCTTGATGGAAAGTAAATGTCACTTAGGTACATGTTTAGAGTTTTTTACGACACAAAAAAAAATTTAAAGTATATGTATCACAGTGAACATAATTTGAAATTTTGTGTAGTTTTTTTACTAATTCAAATTCCGTATCAATGTTTACGCATTGTGAAAATTGCATATGTTTAAAGACAAAATAATATAAAATGTAGACTGAGACAACATTAGAATAAACAAAAATAAAATGCAAAAATCTATTAAGACAGGTCATTAGCTATTTTGGTGATGTTCTTGAAGTCCGCTACAGGTGGCGGACCATATCATTGTCCTTTTTACGTGGTCACCTTTTACTTCTTTTCCTGTTTTTCCTCTTTAAGGCGAGCAGAAAGTGCAGGGTAACCTGTTGGCGAAGCAAAGCCACAATTTTTCACGTCCGTTGGCCGATAAATTAGGTCCCAACTTACGAGTTAACACGAGACTAAAGATTTCCCAAAACATTTGGCAAGATACTTGATATCGTTAATAAGGATAACAGGACTTGCCCCTTTTTAGCACTCCTAATCACAATAGTTGCATGTTCGGCATTTCGATGGATGCCAATTCAATTATATATGTCGTTCCATTTTTTTCTAGCCCCCCCTTGCTTTGTTAGGATTTTTGAAAGAAATCGTCCGACTGTAAGTATGTACGTGGCTAGTAATTTTTATGTGGTCAGTAACTTTTTAAAAGAAATTCGACTTCCAATTTATAAATAATTACTGACTTGTTTACATGATTAGTAACGTTGGTAATCTTTCTATGATTATTCTTATCATCGCATATTAAAAAGGAGAAAAAGACAAGTTTGAACAAAACTGATGCTTCCTGCAATGCAATAGTAAATCTTAATATATTAGACTAAAATTTTACATGAGGTTTGTAACTTATTCATGGGACGAGTAAGTTTCTGCCTTAAAAACGTAATAACCGCCGACCCTGTTTAATTGGAAAAATTATAGGTATTGGCAAACAGTAATCAACCGTCCCACGTGGTCTAAAAAGTGAAAATTAAAGTTTCATTTTTCTCAGCATATGCAAATTAAAATTTCTCCCGAAGGCGGCTAAAGAACAAACGATCTCAGCTTTTTTCTGATGATGCCCATTTTCCTAGTTTCCCAGTGCACGTTCACATGCATGCCCCAATTGTTTAGTAGTGACATCGAGTAGTAAGTGCATCGGGATTTGGATCTTGAGAAGATAGAAAATTGTTATAGCTGTATGGGCAACTTTAGCATCTAACTTCACACGGTAAAAAGAAAAATTATGTTCATGAATCTCTGCTTTTACGTGAATGAAACAAGGAAGAAAAAGATTATGAAGTATACATTGTGAATGAAGTAGTATGAAACCTTTTGTGTGCAAAAAAGAAATTATATTTTGGTACTGAAGTACCAATTTGCGTTGGGATAATAAAAGCAAGCTGATGAGGATGCTTTTCAATTTAAATTTTCATGTGTGAAAGGTAAAACAGTTCTTGAAGTTGGCTAATCTTCTCTTTAGAATTCTATTAAGAATAGGAATTCGGGACAGTTATATGTTTTTATTTGCCCGATTTGGAGAAGGCTAAATAGCCTAAACATGTAAATCTTGAGGACCATGTTTACACCCATATAAGTCATATCTCTAAATCCAAATAGAAGACGTTGATAGTTTCCGTAAGCATTCTTTGTTTCATCAGGCTATTCATCTTCAGAAAACTCTCTGATTAGTTGCTATGAGAAAGAACGAACCTGGCTAATAGTGGGCTGATCGACAGCTGACCAACAAAGGCGAGGCCACAACCGGCAAAATCAAGAGAGGAGGACAGGAGACGGCGTCGGCAAGACCAAGAGAGAGAAATGAGATGAGACGGCGTCGGCAAGACTCCAGAAAGAGAGAAATCGAGGGCACTGCAAGGGAAAGTCAAGAGACTAGAGAGTCTATGAGAGAGGCTAGCAATGAGAGTGAGAACCAAAAGAAAGTAGCAAGGGTCTTAAATATAAAAGATTTAGCATTGTTTTGAACTGTTCCAAACCAGTTTTCCCTAAGGCTGGTTCCCAGAATGTTTACATTAGAGCTGACCAGTTCTCGTGTGAAACAGTGTAGAATCGAGCGAGTTCGATATAGTTTCGAATTGAACCGACCGGGTTACTCACCCTTAAAAAAATGTGACATTTGAGTTCTAACAACAAACATTATATGGCTAATCCCTCGATTAGCGAAAGGGAAGGACCATCACGAAGCACAGAGTTCCTTTTGTCTAAATAAATTAGATAGCCCATTATATGAAATGAAAAGCCAATCATACAATACGTTTGGTCAATTGGCATAATTTAATATCACGTCTATTATCAAACATAATATTATTTATAATAGTTGAGATTACATGGAGATTTTACAGACTACATATTAAAAGTTAAATGTGAAAGACTTGTAGTAGTCATTATATTTCATAGAGGATGTGGTAGGAGAGGTAAGTCTTCTTTGCAACTCTCCCAGCAAGATGTAATGCTTCTTTTATCTTACCAACAATATGTTTTAGGACATTCACTACAATTATGGTGGTGTTGCTGTTCATCCACGTATGGTGTCTCTTTGGTGCATTTCTTCGTTTCACACCTCTTGACTCTGTGTGTTGTCATTTTGCTTTACAAAAACAAGAGAGTTACGGGAAGGTTCAACGAAAGATCCTGACCAACCGGTCAACCCGCGGGTGGCGAAGGTGATTCGACAGTTCCCACAAAAACGAAACCAACCGGTTGCTGAAGTTCCAGCCCAAAACCAACCTCGCCTGTGCACTGCTCTCTAAAGTAAGCCCGAATTTTTGTCTGCAAGTGTTGGGCGCTAATTAGTCCGCACAATTTACGTAATATATATAACTTTTTTTTATAATTTTTGTCATGGTGGGAAAGTGAAAAAGTTGTGTGCGCTTCTGCTATACGAATGCCCTCACTTTTCATATCTAAGTAAAAGAAAGTACCTTTAAAGTGGGGCCGAGGCCCGAGATCACAATTTAGGGTGGAGATTTTATTGGCACGTGGCAAATTTAGAGCAAATAACGTGTACAAAAATAGATAGGATGAGTTCAGTGGTGTACAAAGTCATACTGCTACACATGACTGAAATGGCCAGAAAGCAACAGAACTCCACAATGGTCACCTATTAATTATATTGGGACAACATGTACCGACACATATAGGATAGGAACGGTGGACTTGGTTCCCACGACTATTCCGCTAAAGGCCTGACTAGCGGGGTCCACGCCTATGATGCCCAACTGCCATCTACGACAAAAGTCTGACAGAAGAGGAAGCATAATAATTGCCATAGCCAAAAGGTAACTTAACTCGATCATGGTTAATTATTAACCATCATCTTGTTCTTTTGTTTTTGTTTTTTTTTGTTTTTTCTGTTCCGCATCTTTGTTCCTTCTCCGCATTTTAGAGAGTGACCACGCGCTTTTGAAACTCTAGAAATTAATAATTAGATTGTGACTTATTAATCGTCCTCATTAATAAATAAAGCTTTCTTTTAGTCGATTCCAACACGATGATACCAAAATAGTAAAAGATGAATGGATGGGCTTCAGCAGCTGAGTAACGCATGATCTCGATAATCCATTCTGGGTACTCCAAAATTAATACATATATAATAAATTTATTCCAAATTAATTTTTAATCACCAAAACCCTCAAACTAGCACACCTGCGATAATTTTGTCCTCAACTAATTTTTTGACCACCAAAAACCCCCAAAACTGATATATTTATGATAAATTTACCCTCCATTAAATTAGATTAATAACATGAAAAATCATAAACTGGTACACCCGTTACAAATAAATGATAAAACCCCAAATAGAAACACCCATTAACTGTCATGTGTCATCCAATTCAAAAATTTGATAGCGAAATTTAATGGAAACTACATTTGAGATTTTTGATTGTCAAAAAATTAATTTGGAGTAAATTTATCACAGGTGTAGGAGTTTAAAATTTTTCGTAATATAAATCCAAAAGAAATGTAAAAACTTGTTCAAGGCAAGGTTAGATTAATATATATAGATAGATGGATGGACAGATCGATGATCAACACAGCCCTTAGATATTTTGTTGAGATCTCTTAGAGCGCGAAGCCTGAAATTCACTACGGGTGATATCATTTTCTTACGATTTGATGTGTCTCTTTTTATCCTTTGTCCTTTTTTTTCCTGACTTTTCTCCTTTTTTCCAAAGGCAACCATAAAAAAGTGTATCAAGATAACGTGTTTGGTAAAAGCAAGCCAAAACAAAAAAACAACGTAAAAGCATCTTTTAGGTAGGGCTATGATTAGACTTTGGGGACGTGGGTGGAGGTTCCGTTGGTACGTGGCGAATTTGGATTGGGCAACGCGTACAAAGACAGATGGGACGAGTTGGGCCCCACGGCTATGCACGACTTGACGCCTCCCTAAATAGGGTTGTGTGTATGAATGAAGTCGTACTGCCATCTGCAACTTGCGGAAAGCATAATAATTGCCACGCGACAAACATGACCAAAAAAGCAAGTTAACTCGACCATGGTCACCTATCAACTCCATTATTTTCTTTTTTTCTTATTTTTTTTTCTTGCGCCACCGTTGCCTCTTTCTTCCTCCTCTGCGTTTTTAGAGAGATGTTGAGAAACCTGTAGCTTTTGAAACTCTAGATATAAAAAATCAAATGTTGATTTATTAATTGTCCCTCGTTAATGGCCCATTGCCCAATTTATTACCTGAAACTTAATACAGGCACCCTGCCACTATCACTTTCCAATGATATGTTTCACAACTATCACTTCGATTATGATGGTTTTGCTGTTCATCCACCTTTGGTATCTCTCTAATGCATTTCCTCTTCTTTTTTTTTTTTCATTTCGGAAACAAGAGTGTTTTAGGAAGGTTATTTGTCAGTTCCCACAAAACCAATCGGTTGCTGAAATTGCATCCCAAACCATACGTCGTCTCTCTCAAAAGATGTGAATTTTCTTTGTCAAGACAAACCGGCAGATGGATATCTTTGCATTGTTCTTCGAAGCCCGACTTTTTATCAGGAGGTGTTCGGCGCTTCTCAGTCACACAGTTTTCATAATATATGTTTTGTCGCGTACTTTCGTATATGACTTCTTTTATAATTTAATGTATGCTTTTGTTGAATACGTGTCCTTATGTTTCATGCGTCATTATCACATAGAGCATCTAAGTAAAAGAAAGAATGATTTGTATAAATCAACTATTCAATTTAATAAAATAAAGAGAAAAAAAAACCAAAAAGGTTACATAATAAAAAGAGAGATGGGACGAGTACGGTAGAGCTGAGCCCCGCAGATATTCATTGAGGCTCTGTTTGAAGACGTACTGGAATCTACATCATGAAGCGTAATAATTGCCATGTGACCGGCTTGACCAAAAAGCAAACTAACTCAATCATGGTTAATTATTAATCGTCACTTTGCTCTACTTTTATTTTTTTTATTGGCTCCGCGTCACGTCTGTCTACTTCGAAGACCATGCCCTTTGGAAACTCTAGAAATTAATAATCGGATGTTGACTTATTAATTGTCCCTCGCTAATGGCCACTCACCTCATTCACGGCCTAAAACTTAAAAGATAATATAAGTGTGTGGTCATAATAAATAATAAAAAGTATTTAAATGATAAAAATTAATAATAGCAAAACATCCCACTTCATCATTGCTCCCTGCGAACACAAGAAAGATTAAGGCTCATTCATGTATGTACGGCAAGTTGATGTTCATATCTTGTTCTAGAAATATCACATTAGATTTTATGAAAAATGAATTATAAATAATTACTTATATGGTTTGAAATAATTAGTAAGCGAAAAATATTTTAATTATCGACAACAATATATATCTAAATATTTTCATAGATGTTAAAAACATTTTCGTTCTTTTATTTTTATAAGCGATATAAGCAATCATTTTTTTTAAATTCTTTTCTAACATAAAAACTTCAAATTATACTCACTGTGACACCTTTACTATAAAATTTTTTTAGACATTAAGACCTTGTAGCCATGTATGTGATACACATACTTTTCATCAAGATTTCGTCATGTGATTTTTCAATTAAGACGATATCATTTTTATTTCACTCAAATCACGTTGATGCCATGTTAATACCATTTGTCTTTCGTCGTCTATGTAGGTCGATTTTTTAACGGTTCTCATTGAAAGAACTTTAATGGAGAGTAAATATATCGTACACATACAAATTTGAGATTGTTGGTGTCACAAAAAATGTTTAGGATAAATATATCACAATCCTCATAATTGGATATTTTTAATGGCTTTTCCCTAGATCAAACGAGATGATTGAGCTTTATTCTACTTTATCGTTAGTAAAATGTCTTATTAATTTAAGAAGAGTGAAAGAACGGAGTTTTGTGATAACGGGACTCAGCCATTTAACTACACTCTACCTAACTTTCCTATCATTGATATATGTGTGTGTACATAAATTCATAGTTTTGGTTTCACAAATGATACATAATAGCTGAATTTTCTTGGCTCTCATTTGTTTGTGTTTCTTAAAACTCAAAAACAGTGTTCACTTTTCTTTTAAAATTCAAAATATTATTCAAATACGGAATGTGTACATAATTTGATTTTACAAATAACACACGATAAAATAAAACGAAAGAAGGTAATCCTGATAGTCAAAGTTAATGAAGTTTTCTTAGGACTTGTTTGCTTTTTAAATTGGAAAAACTAAATTTTAAAATGTTATTTAAACATTAAAAGATTTTGAAAAAAATGCACAAATCCCATATCAAGATGTAGCGGTTGTGAAAATTTGACAGGTTTCAAGCCAAAAAATAAAAGTGTAAAAACTAGTTCAAGAAAATATTAGATTAAATATATTATCTATGAACACAGCTGTTAGATATTTTGCTGAGGTTAGTGAGAGCGCAAAGCTTGAAATTCATTAACTATATGCGGTATCATT